CTCGGAAAATTAACAAACTGGGCCTTAAAAACCCACAGGAATGGATGAAGACTTTCTACAATAAAGAACTCCTTCAAAGAGACAAATCAGATGACTTAAAACTAATTGCACCACTTAAACTAACTGTAAGGATATTTACTGTAAAATTAAGGACTAGGGCTCCTTTTCTCTCAGCTGTTAAATGGGTTAAACACATTAGCTCCAATCAGTCTTGTATGTCGAGGCGGTTTTAGTTCAAATGAAACTTGGTCACTCTCTGTTTGTTCCCATGGATTATAATGGTCAAACCTGTCATTCCTGGTCATCTGTAGACTTTGGTCTCTGTTGGTCTGCACACGTTGCTGCTTTGAAAATCAGATTAGAGTTTTACCCATTATTATCTCTTTGCCAGTTAATCCTGGAGTACTGTTTTTAAATCAAAGTTTTAGATGACACCACAGCTAAGGATGACGGGACTCGAGGAGGGATGGAATAAGAAAAACCTAAAATAACTGCTTGAAAATAAACAATTCTTAGTTAAAAACTACTGCAAAGTATTATACATCATGTTTACGCATACACCAAAATTGTTTCTCTATTTTAACTTCAGAATAGGAGCATTTGCTGTAATTTATCCCAGGGCTATTTAATAAGGTTGAGCTTGGGAATCTGTGTCTCTGTTTTCACACAGCGGAATAAAAAAGTCTGAATTGCATCTTTGGTAAACTAACAAGCCGTCTGAATGAATATAGGAAATTGTAGATCATGTTCCTACTACTTTCGTAGGGTCAGCAGTAAGAACCCTATTTTGGCAAGGGAAGGAAGTCCAGTTTGCCGTGTTAAGTTCGCACATACTTTTAGATGTCATTACGAGTTGGAAATGCACATGAATGGTGCTTGTAATATTAGCACTACAGCCTTTAAAAAAAAACAATAAAATAACTTAAATAACACATAGATTCAGTTGAACGTATTTTATTTATATAGAGCCAGTTTACGACACATGACATCTCAAGGCATTTTAATTCAATCAGATCATTCAGTTAGACTGGTTAAATGTTTTCTACATCAGAAACCCAGTTGATTGCATTGAGTCAATGATTTAGCCGGTTTTATTCCTCCTGAATGATCCTGTTACGACCATAGACATTTGATTGCGTTGTCGTTGACTGCAGATTAGTGGCCTTCTACTTATACATTCGTACATGCAAAAGGAATATAAAAGCACTGATCCCAAAATACTTTCTATGTTAGAAAAAGTAACTGTAAACCAGCTCCATTCGTGGCACTCTCTAGGAAAGAAATAATTGAGCAGAACAATTAAGCAGAATATTTAAGCTGTAGAAATCTGAGCCAACTGTCATACAAAAAAGGATTAAAGAGCGCACATACAGTTAGTAACAGTAAAGGGGTTAGGATTAGTCTATGTCTAGGAGAGAAACAGGACTAAACGGTGAAAAAGAGGCTTAACTCTATAATCTATAATGGAAGTTACCAGCAGCAGCCCAGCTAATGGTAGATAATGCTATTGCCAGAGAGGGTTATACTATAGTTTCATTTTTCAGAAAAGTACTGCTCTATTGCTTTTCATGAAGTACCTGGTTACAGGACATGTGAAGAATAAGTGGGGGGTTATTTCAGGTTCAATATTGCTGAAGAAACAATTGGGTTTTATTTCAAGATATTTAGCTATTTCATTATTTGTAACAGATGTTATAAAGACTTTTGATACGAATTTCACAGATTTTATTGTTAATGGGGTATTGATGAGGTAGTGACCATGATTTGCTTCAGTCTATTCTATTAAAAATGGAGTTCTGGTAGAATTTGCCTCTTGGTTGGCGGTATTTGGATTGTTTAAATGTGTTGCGTATGTGTTTGTAATGGTATTTGGTGCTAAAAAAAAAATACAGTCTGTTGAGAAACCATTTGGGTCACAGTTGGAGTAAATTGTGATGATTTTTATAATTGCTAGAGTCCATTGGGATTGCACTAATTGATTTGTATTCCTTGTATCTTAATGGGAACTGAAATTTCATCAAAAAGTTGTCATTGCTAATTATATTACCATGATTGTCTATTAATTTAAAGATGGTTGTGATAACTTTATTTATCCACACTGCCTCATAAATTGACTTTTTATTTTTTGTAATATATTTTGTTCAACATTATACATGTGTTTGGTGAGAGAACCGAACGGTTCGGAGTGTTTTCATAAACCGTTCCATCCCATATATATATATATGTATATATATATACATATACATTTATATATATATATATATATATATATATTTTTTTTTTTTTGAACAAAAAATTTAAATGTTTTCTATATTAAGCTAGTTTCCTTATGTAAATTTTTAATATCAAACTGGTTTCCATGTACTATATATGTATATATTTATTTTTTCTACATTAAACTGGTTTCTATATCTACGTTATTGATGTTAAACTGGTGTCATACAAATTATCTTTATTATTACACTTGTGTCCCACTTGTACGTTTAATGATAAAGGGGTTTTCCATATCTTCATCACAGTTGTAGGCTGTCTGATAGGACGTGCTGTAATACCCGCCGCAGGATTATAGAAATCCAGTGAATAGTCCTCAGAGAGACTTGCATAATCTCATGTTCAGGCTGAATCCTGGAGCCGATCGGTCTACTGCAGCAAATCCAGGCCACTCCACGCATCACCCACCACGCCGGCTCATAAAGTGTATTTTTAGAGTTGTGGTCGTCATGGCGATGTAGGGATGTGTCGGGCTCAAGCTGTTATTGGATCAATAAATGGGGTTGAACACGGTCTCTGAGGTTGATTCCGAAGTGAAAAGTCTAGATAAACCTCGGATGAGAATATATGCAATAAAAAGGAGTTTTAGGAGTTCAGAAATGAAGTACAAAATATCTAAACTTTAGAGCAAAAACAAAATAAGAGACAGAACCTGTACTTGTGTGTATACCTATAACCATTTGTTTTTAAAAAAAGAAAAAAAGGCAGACTACTACTTTGAAAACACTGTAATCCTACATTATTATAAACTCCTGAGTATCACTCCTTGTTTTCATTTTCGTTTTTTTTTTTATGATCTTCAAAGAGTCTCTTTGGAACCAAGAACCTAATCTTGAAAATTAGCTTTGTGTTTTAAAAATATGAGCTCATTTCACTGCGGCATCAGAAGACTTATCATCTTTGTCTCTTATTTTCTGACCTGAGGTCTACCGGTGGTTCGACCCGAGTCGCAAACTGTGTCAAACAAAACTGAGTGTTTGCTATTGCACTTCAAAGTCAAACAGGAGGTGGTGGTATGACAGCTTCTATATTGTGCATAGCTGTGAAACTAGCAAGTTTGTTTGCAAACTGATCTGTGGCTAAGATCTAAATGACAGGAAATGGGAGGTTGCGTTTTGTCTTGGGGGGTCATATCTATGCTAGAGCTCTGTTTTAGTTTTTATCTGATGACTTGGGCAGATTATAATCCCAGCTTGGTGATTTGGATCGTTTTTTTATTCTGGTTTTACAGCAGATCATCTGACTTGAAGCTCAGGGTTTCAGAGGGTCAAACTGTCTTCTTCTTTAGAATCAGGTGTTTATGCTACAGGAAACCTTTTTACAGTTGATATGACCGCTTTATCGCTGATCATGAATGCTCTGAAAACAGCCCAGCATGGAGGAGCCTTAAGATGTGTTGCAAAAAAAATAAAAATGATTGTTGTTTTTATTTTAGATCCTCATCCTAGCTGGTTGGAAGATTAAATTATTTCCAAATCGTCATTCATGAACGCATCCTTTGTGTCCTGTCTGCATACTTTCTATTTCTCAGTGAAGTTCAGGAAGTTGTTTCCCAGAACCAGTTATTGACTCTCCATTAGAATAAGAGTCTAAAGGAGCTCATTTTACTTTGGGTTTACGTTCATTGGATATACTTTTCATGCTTCACAGCCTGAAAATATCAGTTTTTATTAATGATTTTGCTTTGATTGGATAGATGACTAAGTTTTATTTCTCTGAAATACCACTTGGTCATTAGTATTCAGGCCCTTCCATCAGTATAGAGTAGATCCTCCCCTTTGTGTACGTACACCCAGAAGTCTTCGTAGGAATGATGCAGCAAGATTTCCAACTCTGGATTTGGGGATCCTCCCCAGATCGTCTCCAGTTCTGTCAGGTTGGATGGTGAACGTTGCTTAGCAGCCGTTTTCAGGTCTTCCAGAGATGCTCAGCTGGTTTTAGGTCAGCGTTCATTAAAGAAAACAGCTATTTTTAGGCTGTAAAGCATGAATAAAGGCTGGTTTATACTGAGAAACCAGGTTGTCTATCAGTTAACGCAGTTATGACCCCATCCCCTCCGCAGATACTCTGATGCACCTCTCCAGAATTGTAGGTGACTGCAGACAGGAGGCCTCTGATTGGTCAAATCTACATCCACTCTACACTATGCGTATTTGTTTGGTACCTTGTTTGGAGGCTTGTTTTGTTTGTATGACCGCCATTGTGGGAAATGACTCTTGAAGATGGACCAGCTGGAAGAGCAAGGTGCGTGAGAACGATTGGACACTTTTTCCACCTGGATCCCCGCTCTTTTTCGCCCTCATGTCCCTCCGGTGGCGCACAAACTGGCCCCCACTTCCTCACCACCTCAGCCGTATCTAGACCCACAGCTAGTTCGTTAATATCTATATCTGCCACGAACTCACTACAACACGCTGCTGCGGGAGGATAACCAGACCTTAATGCATATAATAAACCTGAGGTTTTATTTGTCGGAGCTGCTTGGTTCCTGGTTAGGTGTATTAAATGATTTTTGTCATTATTTATTTCTTTAAGACTAGAGTTTGGATTTGGTGCATCTTTTCTTTTGCATTGTTTGTTGCTAAGTGACCCCTGACCTCAGGGTACGAGTTAGTAAAGATTAAACTTCTTTAGGTGTTTTAAAATTGGTGAAAGGCGTTTTTCCTGCAGGTTTAGGATCTTTCTGAATAAAGTCACTAAGAAAACACGGATCATTTCTTTCATCCCAGGTATAGGTGAGGTGGTCGCCATCATGATCCCGGAGCCAAAAGGCCGTGAGGTGGTGTCCCTGCTGGAGCGCAACATCACGGTCACCATGACGATCACCATCGGGACCAGGAACCTGCAGAAGTATGTGAGCAGGACGTCGGTGGTGTTCGTATCAATATCCTTCATCGTGCTGATGATCATCTCCCTGGCCTGGCTCGTCTTCTACTACATCCAGAGGTTCAGATACGCCAACGCACGGGACAGGAACCAGGTACAGACATCAGAGGCGCAGCTGTGGCCTTTAGATTCTGACTCCTCCAGGAAAGGAAGCAGATGTTTATTTATTTTATTTAAACATAATAATGAAGCTTAATTGTTGTTTAATCCTGGACCTGGTTCTCATTCTTGTTTAATTTTTGGTCTGCAGCGTCGCCTTGGCGACGCAGCTAAGAAGGCCATCAGTAAACTCCAGGTCCGCACCATCAGGAAGGGCGACCAGGAAACGGAACCAGACTTTGACAACTGCGCCGTCTGCATAGAAGGCTACAAAATCAACGACGTGGTCCGCATCCTGCCCTGCAGGTGAGTATGCCAACATTTTTCACTTCCAAAGAACGAAGCTTGGAAGAGGCGGTTCTGCTGTGGGTTACAGAACCATCACTCTGTCATATGACCGCGTGGAAATCTGTTCCCTGTGTTTAGAGAGCAGTGAGTTCTGGGGTTAAAGTCATAGGGAAGTCGTATTTAAATGTCAAATCATTCTGGCTTAAACATGTATATTAATGTACTCTTTATCAGACCATATTGTACGAAAAATTAGAAAATTTCTATTTTTTTTTTTTTTTTATCTCGTCTCTTTTACATTGATTTTATCTAGGCCAGTTAGTTATACGTCAGCTTGTACACCTAAATTTGGCCAATCATATATCAGAGGTCATCTGTCAATCAAATTTTTTTCGGTCATAGCATCTTGACTCATATGTCGCCGCTAATATACGCTGTTGAAATAAGAAATAAGACTGATTTCCTTTCCCATTGAGTTCCATCCCAGTGTTCACAGGGATGGACGTCTGTGTCTTCAGCAGGCGTAGAGCTAACAGAACTGGCAGCGTTGCGAGGCAAGGGCTCAAACATGTACGGCTGTAAGCCTTCTACACCAAACCAAGCTTCTGCCGCCCTGGCGTCCTCTTCCACAACAACTTCGTCCCCACTTTCCTCCTCTAAATAAAAAATGTAGGACGGAGGAGACTCATCTACGACCTCCGACACTAAACTCTCCTCCTCTTGCATGTTTCCTCTGTCCATAGCATTCCTTGACGGTGTCATTTCTAAGTCACCAATTTAGTCCTACTTGGTCCCAATGTAATTTCCCATTGGGAACCTACTAGCACTAAATTGCGAACTGTTTAGCAAGATGCTTCCAGAAACCGGCCACAACCAAACTTGCTTGCGAACCTTCCGCCACAACAATCCCGCCCTCTTGATATTCGACCAATCACATTCACTTTATTCACTCGTGTAAAGTCGGGCACCACTCGGGAGAATTCGGAAATGCAACGTTTGGAAAAGCCGCTTCCCTACAACTTTAAATGTCAGGGGTAGAGATCAGGACACCCTGCTGTCTAACTAAAGGGCCAACACTCCTTAGAATGAGCTGCATTTGAGGCCCCACAGCGTCTAACTTTGTTCACTGCAGTTAGTCAGAAATGAAATTGTTGTTTTAACCAGCTGGAGGCTCTTAAAAAGCACCTATAGGCGTCCTGAGCTAAAAGACCATAGGAATTGGCAGCTTTAAGGTAGTCAAGGTTGTTTTTCTTTCAGTTTTGACCAGCATTCATGTTCTGATGGGTGCAGGCATGTGTTAATTTCAATGAGTCATATGGGATTGGTGCAAAACATGGTGGCAATGGCAGGAAGTCTCTCTGTTAAAATGTTTTTCCTCCCATTAATTGGATAATTCGGCCATAAAAGTAAGAAAATTATAATAAATGGAAGCAAAAGCCTTATTAAAACGGAGTTATTTTCAGTGCTTGTTTTTTTTTTTTTTGTGTTTGGTAGAAATAAACTTTTTCTTATTGGATTTTCTGCACATTTCGTTGTTGTTGTTATTTGTTTTAGCTAATGCCATAATTCAGAGAGGTTTCAGAGAACCAGAATAATCCCATTTAACAAAGGTACCAGTCAGGAGAAGGATTCCTTGATCATTTATAAAATAATATGAAAACCAAATTATTTATTTTTGTTCTTTAATATCAGTCATCTGGAGTCAGATGTTACCTTTTGGTCTCAACAGGAGCTTTAAACTTTTCATAAAGCGCCTTTACAACATTATCCATGTCCTGTGAGGGAATCCTGTGGCGTTCCCAATCCAGATTTGATCCATGATCCGTCTCCACCCAGGAACGAAGGCCAGTATGCTGTACAGGTGGAATAAAGGCAGCTGTTATGTCCATGAAGAATATTTTACTCCCCCAGATTTTTCCATCATTTAGTCTTGTTTTCTCTTGGTAGAGAGAAAAGTCTCCAACTTTCGTTCAGCCTCACATGAAATTGTTTTTCTGACTTGGAGACCAGGAAGCGTGTTCTCTGATGTAGCTGGATAATAGTCCCCTCAGACTGCTTCCTCTCTCCTGACGGCACAGATCAACACTGGTTTCCTTTTGTTTTCAGACATTTGTTCCATAAGAGCTGCGTTGATCCGTGGCTGTTGGACCATCGCACCTGTCCCATGTGTAAGATGAACATCCTGAAGGCTCTTGGCATCGCTGTGAGTCCAGCTATTTCCCTTCACCGATCTGCTTGTGTTCATAGTTTTATGACCATTAATGCGTTAACATATTCCCCTTCCTCCTTAAAGCTGAACGCAGACTGCTTGGACGACCTCCCCCTGGACTACGACCTGGCCCTGGGCGGCGTAGGCGGCGTTGGGATGGGCGGAGTAGGTGCTCTGGCCCTGGAGGCCGTGGTGTCCGGGGCGTCCAGTGACGGGACGCTGAGCGAGGGCGGCTCTTCGGTGGTGCTGGACCCCGGCGTGCGGCGGGTGGGGCTCCCACAGGACTACCAGGACCATGACCCGCTGAGAGACAGTCCCATAACAGCCACTGATGCCCACACAGGTTGGACACGGACACACTGCTGGGGCTTTACTGACACCTAGTGGCCAGTTGGATTCACTACACCTAACGCCTTTCTGGATGCTCAAATCCTTCTTAAATTTAGGTTGTTTGTTTCAGAATATGGAAGATAAAACAGACTCAGATGTTTTCATCTATCTTGAATATTGAATAAAGACAACAAGAGCTGCACAGATATGTGTTAAATATGTTAAACACAGGTTTTCCTTCTTTTTTTTTTCCAACTAAGGATAAATATGTTTAGATACCTAATGTTTAAAAGTTTTGCTGAAAGATTCAGGAAGAAGTTTTTGAATTCAAACGTTTCAATGGACCTGGGGAGCACAGACAGGTTCCTAGATGAAGTATTGAAAATGTTTATTTTTCAGATTGAGTTTTACTAAGTGTATTCTTTTCAGATTGCCTTCTAAAGATCTCATTCGCTTTGCTTCTGGGGAGGCAAAGGGGGGAGGCAAAGCGGGGAGGCAGTTGGTCTGCATGGGTGTTAGCAACATTTTTATTAGTCATCAGCCAGGGTTTGTTATTGACCATTAAATGAAGACAGTGCGATCTTTGAAAAACTAAATCTAAATAACAATTTGAAAAAAGGAAAACAAAAAACAAAAAAATCTGTAAAAAGAAGAATTGAAAACTAAAATATAAGAAGTTACTTTTAAAACCTCTTTTTTTTTATATTAAGAAGTTTTTCAAATGTTTATTTACAAAATACGTCCTTTTCCACAATAATGGAACAAAAGTCACGCCATATAGGGGGCTCTATGCAGAATTAATGCTTTAGAAAACTCCCCCTGCACCTTTAAAACACCATCCCACAGTTAAGCATGGTGGTGGCACCATTATTCTGTAGGGAAGCCGTTCCTTATTGGTGCCTCAGTGTTCAGTCTTTCTGCTCAGCATAACTGAACTTTATTGTAAAAAAGAATGTGACACATGTTTCTAATGTTTAATTTAAGGCTACCGCCCCCTGAAAGGGTTCAATCCTAATGGCTTGTTCCCAGTTCTCTTTGCCGGAAAACAATTACTCTTTAACATCTTTAACATCTTAACACTTCTTTTTAACATGATTTAATCTAGATTATCAGATAACGGGTTTAAAGCAGACGGTTCATGTTGTTGTCGGCTTTAGAAGTGGGTCTTCTTCTCACATTCGCACTTCTTTACATTTCAAGAATCTGTTGGGTTCTGATTGTCAAGATTTAGAAAAGATTATTTTCATTCCGATCAGTTTAATCTCAGATTAGATTGCTGGAATAAAAAAACCCTTTTAGCTGTTGCCTGAATATCATGACTGTATCGTTATCAACATAATGATATCAGTGTTATATTAACCTTCAGCAGCAGTTTCAGGTGTTGACGTTAAGGATTTTTACCACTTGCCCTTTGGGCAAGTGACTTTCACATTTCATTTGCCCAGAAGCAATTTTTACTTGCCCAGTATAATGTTTGATAAATATAGTTCCTAATATTATTTTTGTATATATATCAATGAAACATGTTTGTTTTTTAAATGTTTTTTGTAATTCAGTATCTTTTAAGTTTCCAGGTTCCTGGTGTGTATATGCATGCGTCAGATAATGAACTCAAGCCTACATTACCGTGTTAACATGCTTTTCATTCCTTCCTGCATATTCTTTTCAAACTAAACTTTGCTTTAAACTGTTGTGTGCTTGGAAAAATATAAATTGTAATGTTAAAAATCTAAAAAAAACTTGACAGGTTAAAAACTTAAGATAAATCACAAGACAGAAGTCAATGTCACACATGAATAACTTTTATTTTAGAGTCACGGTTTATAGAAGATAACACTATTAATATAATGTGACTTTTCTAGAGAATCATTATACATAGTTATTTTATACAGGGTTTCACAGGCTTACATAATTTCAGAATTCCCTGACTTTTAACTGACTCAGGATTAGTTTTCCCTGACAAAATAAATGCAGCAACAAGACAATAATAATAACATAGCAGGTCACCAATGTAACATGTTTAGCTCTATAACATTTCAATGCACCTCTCAAATGTCTAAGAGAAAAAAAATTAATGAACATTTTTTACTGTATGACCTGCATCACTGTACAGAGGACTGCCATATGATAGCGCTTTCTAGCTTGTCGTTTTGGTAACTACATCAAAATTACCGCTAGGTGGACAAAAATCACCCGGCTTTTTCAAATCACGCGAGAATGTGTACAAAACAACTAAAATGGCGCCAGCAACGCTTCTGGGTCGTTTTCATCGAATGTTGGTGATTTTAAAGTAATTTTGAGTGAGTGATAATTTTTTTTTTTTTGCGATCATTGAACTTGCCCGGCGGGCAAATGAATTGAAATTTGTACTCTCCTAACAATAAAAACTACTTGCCCCGGGCGATCGGACAATGGTTAACATCCAGCCCTGAGTTTGTATTTAATGACTGCTGTGAAGAAAAAGCTTTTTTGGCATTCTAATCGATTTGCAGTTCTATAAATCAAACCCAGAAGAACATTTCCCATTTATGCATACACCTCAGTGACATCAGAAAACCATGTGTCACAGAAGATGTGTCACTATCTGATAGGATGTGTCATTATGTGGTGTCTTATCTCTATGGTGTTCCTGCTCACGATTATAGAAATATATTCCTCTTCATTTAACCCGTTAAATCCTTAAGAAGAGTGACTGTAGTATTATCTATATGGGAAGCTCAATATCTTTCTCCCAACCTGACGACTTAACATTAAAGAAGATGGACTTGATCCTGACAATAGATCTGATTCAACTAATCTGACTTCTGAGGGAGATTAAATAAAACAATAGAATATAGAAATTATACTATGGGGTAGGAGAAGCTATGATCAGTGAAGAAATATGAACCTTTATTAGAAGTTAAATGGTCTGTTTTATGAGTAGTAAGGCTTAAATCTAGCTAATGTGTAGAGAAAAGATGCTGCCATACCTGCAGTTTTTAGAAAGTACCGGGTCAGGAGGTCACACTGTTCTGATCGTTCATATTATTCACTAACTTCTGTAATCTTTATTTATATATATATAATCTGAGTGAGTCAGAGTGGATGAGAAAATCTTGGAAAAGTCACAGTGAATGGTTTCACACTGAGCTTCACCAGGTGATCTAAAGTCTTTGAAGCTCTGCAGAAAAAGCAACGGATCATTAAGCAGCAGGAATGTTTTTAATGAACGGGTAGAAATGTTCTGATCCGCCATCCACCCCGTGATGAGTCACGGAACCACCTAGAACCAGCAGTAGAGGGCAGATAGGGAGGTTCAGTTGAATCCTCTTCGGTCGGTTCTGTTGTCTCTACAGTTTGGTCACGTGACCAGCTTCATTTTTTTTAACAGGAAGCGTTTTCTCTTCTTCCTCCTCTTCATCTTCCAGGTGAGCTTCAGCCCATGGCGAGCAGCGCCTCCGTGGCATCTCTGGTCATCGCCGTGGAAACCGGCCTGTCGGACGAGGAGGGGTCCATCGGACAGCCTCGGATGGGAGCCAAGTCCTGAGAACAGCACAACAGAACCAAGCCAGAACCAGGCCAAAATAAACAAGACTCAGAACAATCTTTAGGTCCGGAGAGAGGTCCAGCCCGACTGAAGAATAAAATCTGACCCAAACCTGGTTACGGTTTACGCTCGCCTAAAATACACTGATCCAGAACCAGCGCTGTGAGGGTCCGACTAGGTTTGGACTTCTGAAGCAGACCTGTTGGGTTCAGAGGAATTGGATTTTATCTGTTGTTTCAGTGTTAACCTTCTTAGTTTTCCTCATCCTCAGCTTGTTCTGTTAGAACCCTCGTTGGCCCGGACAGTCTTCCTCCCAGAACCTGGTTCTCTAGCTCCTAAATGGCTCCACCTCCTTCTAACAGCTGTTATCTTCAGAGACTGGAAGCTCAGCAGGAGGTTCTGCTGTGAGGAGGAGTCCTGGTATCTTGTCCAGCAGTTAAACTCGACCCGATAACACTCTCTTTGTTTTGGTTCTCCAGTCTTTTGGCCGCGGCTCTGTTTGTGGTGAGACTGAAGGACTTGATTAAAAAGAACCGGGCTGCTCCAGGAGCTGGACCCGGCAGTGTTACGTTGACTGCAGTATTGAACACCTCAGTATTCCCTCCTTCCTTTTTTCCCTCTGCTGAGGTTCGGTTCCAACGTTTCCTCTGCTGTTTCCAAAAGTTAAAGAGAATTAAAGGTTCTCACTTCTGGGGGGAAACTGAAGTTAAAAAAAAGTTTTCTTTAACTTGTAAAGCACAGATAAAAAAAAAATATGTGAAAACTATGAGTGAAAGCAGAGAAATGCTGCCAGGCTCTGAATCATTTCCAGCAGCGAATAACATTTGGAGATTTTTCCTTTTCCTCAATCTTCTCCCTCCTTTTAACAGATGTCTTCATTAGAGCTCCGTATTATTAGGTGCTTTCAGACCACAGAATATTTAGATTTGGGTTTGATCTCCTGCGGCAGCAGCAGAGTATTTCCCCAGTCTGCTGCTTTATCTAATAATCCCTAAAGCAATTGGACATATAGATATTAAAAATGGGTTAAACTATCTGTTCTGGTCTAACTACTTCTATATCTATGCTGATTTAGCATAGATATAGAAGAAGGGGCTAAAAGTTTATTTTTAAACCTTTTCTTTTTTATTTCCTTGTATATGTCTGATAACATGCTACCAGTCTGCATTGGATTTCTAGATTTTGATTTCTTTCCAGTTTGAGCATCATTATATTCAGAAAATGATTAAATCTACAGAATTATTTGTGTAATCTACATTCAGATATTTTTTTCTTTCAATCAGTTTCTGCTTAATTTCTTGTTGGGATGTGGTGGATTGGCTTAATTATTAAAATTCATTTTTATATTACATTTTATTTATGAATATTTTTGCATGTTTTGTCAAAAAACATGCAGACTGAAGTAGAAAGTTTTTGCCAAAACAATGAAAATGGCCTTTTTTTTTTTTTTTTTTTACCGATATTGTGATTTTTAATTTGAATCTCCTTTGATCAAACTACAAATATGTAGAGTTTCCTCTCCAAGGTTTAATTGTTTTGACGACCTTGGCCTATTCCCTGATTAAAGTCCATAGTTTCAGGACTTTACTGTTTAGTGTAAAAAATTTCCTGCTTCTTCTCTCATACATGGATCTACATGTTAGCTCCAGCTATCTTCCCACTTTTAGCGCCAACTAAAGAGTTAGAAATGTAGTTTCTTTCTCCTGTTAAATGTAACGTGACTAAGATTTAGAGGCTTTGCCATTTTAAAAAATGCATTTTGTTAAATTGAATTATTGCAAATGCAGTTAATGACCCAGCCCTGATAGAGACAGGAAGTATCTGAACAATAAAAAGAAAACCGTACCTGGTGTTAAGGTAGAAAATGCTTAAAGAAACAATCTTCCAAATGAAATTGTTAAACAAAATAAGAACCACCTTTAACTGACGTTTTTAAAGTTCTTAGAACCATGTGGTCTGAAAGCACCTGCAGCCTTGCCTTGTTCAGTTTTCCCAACATGTCCGACTGCCCCACCGCCATCATCCTGCTGCCTTTTTTTCTACTTTTGACTTCTGACAATCGAGGAGGCTGCTGCTCAGGGCTCTTCGCCCTGAACTCCGCCACAGAAGGCTCCGGTAATTTCCCGCGCCGCAGACGCAGGCTGATCGAAACGTTTCTGTGCTGCTCTTGGTTCTGCCTCTTCACCTTCATCAGCCCATCCTGTGAACACAGGACACAGGTTCACTTCGCTGCCGACTGTTTGCTCCGGACGTTGACGCTCGTGTTTTCGGGGGGTGTCGCCGGCGAGGAAAGTAAAAGATTGTCGTCTATTTTGATACCAGAGGAGACGTTTATTTTTGTAACGAAGCAGCAGGGACTGACTGATCTCCCTTCCATCCTCACCTCCCCCATGGCTCGGATGGTTCTGCATTTGATCGGGCCGATTTAGATGTTGAATATTTGTGTAATTGTACATACAAACTATTTTTTCTCTTCTTTTTTTTTTCTTTCTGAGGCCCTCGATGTTATGAACCAGACTGAACATGTTAGGATCTGACTGAAGAAAGCTGTGAGAATTGAGCTCATGTTCTGAACCAGCACTGTTAAAACTACAGGAGAAAATATTTTCAGCTGGAAAAAGAAAAAAACAAGTTTGGCTTCCTTTAATATTCGTCAGTGCTTCTATTTCCTGTGAGTTCAGTTCCTCTCAGACTCTTTGTGAAACTTCTTCCTTTGCTTCCACAGGTTCTTGGTTCAGGAAGCTGCAGGTTGTTGTAAACACTAAGTAATTTATACTCTGTAACATGGAAGCGCTTGTAAGGAGATGACAAATTTGTACGGCTTGTCTTTGACAATTTTCAGTGAGCAATGTTTTAATTAAAGTCACCTGCTTTGTGTTGTGAGTTTCCTCTTTTATAGACTATTTATTCTTCCACCTTCACATGTATTTTTCCTTAATTATCTGCAATTAAGGATGGGTTCATGAGGCATCATGAAGCACTACAACACATTTGTACACATTTATTGATAATGTCATTGAATACTGACACCTGCTGGACATTTACAATAACTACAGTTTGACAAACTAGACCGACACTGATTTGATGACCTATAATATGATTTAAGCCATCGTTTGCTATAAAGTATTATTTAATATCTTCCTTTAAATTTAAAATTCATTTGATATATTTAGAAGCAATGCATAAATGTGAACATATAATGGGGAAATTAAAGTGAACAAGGATAAGGATGTTTGTGGACTAGGATTTATATTAAAAATGACTAAAGAAAGAACAAAAACTAAGAATTTAAAATTAGTTTGATTTTAAATACATTGAGTGATTACCAAGAGGAACAGGATGACACATTAAAACATGAGATCAAAATGGTTCCACTCAACTTTTGCCTTTAGGCCTCTCCACTTCGATTAATTTGGTGATAAACCACAAAAGATCAGAGATTTTTTATTTATTTTTTGGCAGTAGCCTTCGTCGATAGATGCACTTATAAACACAGTTTAGTGCATCAGTCAGTTGGAAACAGCTCCTGTATCAATCACATTACTTTCTTGAAACGATATGTGCAAAGATTTTTATTTATTTTTTTACAAGGCTGGACTGAAAAAACAAACCCCAGAACCATTTTGAAGTTTTTCCAACCTGTCTTGTGTTATTTTGAGGATGACTCTGTTGCTACTAGCTGATAATCCAGCATTCTTCTATTTAGTTTTTTAAATAACTTTTTACGTCTTGTTTTTTTTTTTTCTTTTTGTTTTTTTTTTTATACAAGGCTCTTCATTAATTTCCTAAATGTTAATTTAAATAGCATTAAATAAAGAAGCAGAATCTATTTTATAATAAGAAAAATATCTTAGTGCAGATGTAATGTTTAGGGTATTTGTGTGGTTTACCGAGACTTAACAGTGTTCTGATATATATTTATGCAATATTGCATCAAATACATTGAATAAGATGCAAATATCAAGTCTGCTACAAGCTAATGCTTAACAACATAATTTCACTAAACTTAAATTCTAATGTAAAATACTCCAGCTTATTGGTTTTAAATAAATATTATCACAGGTTTCCTCTTATATTATTGATAAATTTTATCCAAACACAATGGTCCTGTTAAGCTAATTCTGTGGTAAGGGATTTGTCTCAGTCGACAGTATTGAAAACTGTTTTTAAATGGATTAATAAGAAAACATGCTAGGCTAATGGGGAATGATCAAACTGGACTGCGTGAAGAAGCAGCTGGTTGCTATGGTTTCTCCCGCCAGAAACACTGACTGTAGGAAAACTGAAGATGACATCACAAGAAATAATGGAGGCAACAGCATCAAACCCAATGGTAACGTGTTTCTTTTATTTAATAGGTGATTGCAGTTCAAAGCTGTTAAAGTTACTGAAAATGAGTGACTTTTTAATCAAAGTTGTTAAAGAAACATTTGAGGGATTTGATAGAAAGTGGCTGTAAAAGAGACGCTGTTTGATAGAAAATGGTTTATGCCCAGTTCCTTTATAGCCCTTTATCAAGTCTAAAGAACCCAAAGTGCTTAAAACAAAATCACATAAAGTATACATAACTTCTGGAAACTTTGTACAGGAAAGTAACCTTTACCAGAATTTAAAACCTAGAGTTCAGAAACATCTTAATTTAAGCTTAACATCCTGATACAATATTAAATTTACATGTCACAAAAGATTAACTATAAGGTAAACATGCTAACTCAGTCAAGAAAATTAATACATATACTTTATTTAACCTATATTATGAGTGTAACAATATATATAGCAACAATAATATATATTATAAATATATAACATATATACGTATATATACACTCACCGGCCACTTTATTAGGTACCCCATGCTAGTAACGGGTTGGACCCCCTTTTGCCTTCAGAACTGCCTCAATTCTTCGTGGCATAGATTCAACAAGGTGCTGGAAGCATTCCTCAGGGAGTTTGGTCCATATTGACATGATGGCATCACACAGTTGCCGCAGATTTGTCGGCTGCACATCCATGATGCGAATCTCCCGTTCCACCACATCCCAAAGATGCTCTATTGGATTGAGATCTGGTGGCTGTGGAGGCCATTTGAGTACAGTGAACTCATTGCCATGTTCAAGAAACCAGTCTGAGATGATTCCAGCTTTATGACATGGTGCATTATCCTGCTGAAAGTAGCCATCAGAAGTTGGGTACATTGTGGTCATAAAGGGATGGACATGGTCAGCAACAATACTCAGGTAGGCTGTGGCGTTGCAACG